TTTAAAATTGGGAAAGGTGTGCGACAAGGTTGTGTTCTTTCACCATACTTATTCAACCTGCATGCTGAGCAAATAATCCGAGAAGCTGGGTTCTATGAAGAAAAATGTGGTGTCAGGATTGGAGGAAGACTCATTAACAACGTGTGATGTGCAAATGATACATCTTGCTTGCTGAAAGTGAAGAAGACTTGAAACATTTACTGATGAAGATCAAAGAACACAGCCTTCGGTATGGATTGCATCTCAATGTCCAGAAAACAAAAATTTTCACCACTGGATCAATAAACAACATTCTTATCAACGGAGAAAAGATTGAAGTTGTCAAGGACTTCATTCTTATTGGATCAACTATCAACATTCACGGAAGCAGGAGTCAAGAGATCAGACGACGTATCGTGTTAGGCAAATCTGCTGCACAAGACCTTTTTTAAGTGTTGAGATGTAAGCTTGAGGACTAAGGTGCGCCTGACCCAAGCCATGGTATTTTCAATAACCTTATATGGATGCGAAAGCTGGACAGTGAATAAGGAAGATTGTAGAAGAATTGATGCCTTTGAATTGTGGTGTTGGAGGAAAATACTAAAAGTGCCATGGACTGCCAAAAGAACCAATAGATCTGTTTTGGAAGAAGTGCAGCCAGAGTGCTCCTTGGAGGCCAAGATAGCTAAACTTCGTCTCTCATAGTTTGGACATATTGTCAGGAGGGAACAGTCACTGGAGAAGGATCTCATGCTGGGTAAGATGGAGGGTCAGAGAAAAAGAGGAAGACCCCCAACAAGATGAATCAGCCAGGTGGCATCACTGATGACGTCAAGTGTGGCAGCGGTAGTGAGGTTGGCCCGGGATTGGACATTGTTTCGTTCTGCTGTGCACGGGGTCGCAATGAGTCGGTTCCGACTCGATGGCACCTGACAACAACAACTAACCAAAATGTTGGTGGTTCAAACCCACCAGCCGCTCTTCAGAAACCATATACAGGGTTGCCATGAGCTGGACGGACTCAATGGCACTTAACAACAAAAAAAAACAAGGATTCAGAGCTTGTGAGAGCATGTATAGTCAGCTTCAACATATATATCCTTTATCATTTAAGTGTAATTTTAAGCTTGAATAGAACTTTTTAAATTTCCCCATACTTCTCAACATATTAAAAGCGTATATACAAATCCAAAGAGTCCTGGTGTGGCAATGAAGAATAAGCACTGGACCACAAGGTGGGTTTGAACTGCAAGGTTGGCAGTTCAAGTCCACCAGCCACTCCTTAAAAAACCTATACAGGGTCTCTATGAGTCAGAACTGACTTGAAGGCACTTAACAACAGTAACATTCAAATGTAACAGCCAAAATTACTTTCAATGGAGGGAAACTGAAAAGCATTCCTTTTGTGAACAGGAACCAGAGCAGGATGCCCTTTATCACCATACCTATTCATTATAGTGTTGGAAGTCTTAGCCAGAGCTGTAAGGCAAGAATGGAATATTGAAGGCATCCAAATTGGCAAAGGAGTCCTGATGTGGTGCTGTGGGTTAATGCATCAGACTGCAAGGTTGTTTGAACTGCAAGGTTGGTGGTTCAAGCTCACCAGCTTCTGCTTGGAAACCCTATACAGGTTGCAATGGGTCAGAATTGACTCGATGGCTTAGCAACAACAACAACAAATTGGTAAAGAAGTAAAACACTTATTTGAAGATGGCATGAACCTATACATGTCATTGTTGTTAGATGCCATCAACTCTGCAGAACAAAACACTGCCCGATCCTGGCCCAACCTCACTATTGTTGCCTTGCTTGAATCCATCCATGCTGCCACTTGGCCAATCCATCTCATTGAGAGTCTTCCTCTTTTTCTCTGACCCTCCAACTTACCAAACATGATATCCTTCTACAGCAACTGCTCCCTCCTGACAATATGTCC